GATTTTTTAGAACTGAAAATTGAAATAGTTTATTTTCATTTCGACAATCTTCTAGTTAAATTCTTTAATAATTACATGTAATTGAAGACCAGATGTAATTCGTTTCGATACATTATCTTCTTCCAGTGATGTTCGAGTTAATGAATCTTGCATATTATTTGGATTAGTATCTGTTATTGATGTTGATGACGTAGCAGACGGTATTTCTGGTGATGAACTTAAATGACTGTCAGTTGAATGACCAGGAGATAAAATCTTTTTCGAAAAATAAAACAATAATCAATGATTCTTCTTCTGCTGTAAAAAAAATAGATGTCTATAAGAACGCATTTTGAGTTTTAAGATTCGATCTAATCGAATTGAGAAATTCATGGATTTCTAATCAATATGATGCAACCATAAATTTGAATGAAGTCTAACTTCAAGACCAATATTTGTTTTGATAGAAAATAATGAAAAGTTATTCAAAGATTATTATGATAATTTATTGTTTGAATTAAAATTTCATTAAAAAAAGCCGTTCATTTAAGATACTGTTTTGAATATTATAGATCGTAAACAGTTTTTCGATTGCTTAAGTTTAAAATATGAAATACCTGTATGAATTCTATATGTCGTTTAATTATTGTGTTGATGTAGTTTTTTCCAAGCTTAATTTACTCTGTGATTAATAGTATCTTTCGAATGTTGCAAAAAATTTAGTCTATTTTTGTTAAAACTCAACTTTACATTTGATCGACTGAAATTTTAATGGTTTTTTAAGAAGAATACAATGCATGTTACTTCAGTCCTATTTAATATATTGGAATCAATTACAAAAATGTGAAACAATTGATGTACATTTCAAACGTTTTCTAAGACGTTTTTCTTAATCAAATATGCATCTCTTCAATCGCTTCGACGATCTGTTAAAAAAAGTAAATTGAATATAATTTTACTATCTGACCACTTGTCATCGATCTATTTATCATCAAATGACATTTCTCAAGTTAAAAGAATATTTTTTACTGTTACAATAAATCGATTAATAAATTTATTTTCTTATATATTAGCGAAGAAGTCTCGTAGGATGGAAATTCGATCAAGGAAACAAGTTGTAGAAGTGTGTTTCGAACACAGAAATATGAAATATCAATCTCTAAAATGTGAAACACTTACTCTCAATGGGAATGAATGGTTTAGGGGTTTTATTAAGTGACTCATTTCTTTTAGAACATAAAAAGTAATTTATTTTCTAAATTTTAAATAGCTCTATTAGACACAAATTAAATTAAGTGTAGAGACAATGTAATTAATATTTTTACTAAACGACGAATAGAATGTATATAGGTATTTCACAATTGAAACTTAAGCAATCGAAAAATTATTTACGATCTATTATGTTCAATATAGCAACTTAAATAAATGATATTTTTATGAGATTATAATCTGGTCAATAATTTATCTTAATCTTTTTGTTAGTTATTTTCTATGAAAACAAATTTATCCGATACAAAACTCAATTAAGTCGATCGAGATTCATTCTTATAGATCTACTTCACCCGTTTTCTACTTACAAAAAGTGACAAACGAAGAATAATTGATGTTTTTTCTAATGATTCAGATAAAATTTTCAGTGAAAATGATTGATTATCAATAGTCATTGTATCGGTATCATAAATTTGTTTAATTGGCATTTCAAAATATGCAATTACTTCATTATTACTTCGTGCATCACATACATCAATTCTTAATTTTTCATGAAGTGGATTTGCACATAAAATTTGTGATAGATGTTGAAATTGTGGATTTGTACGATTTTCAAATGTTTGAGTTTTATCTTCAGTACCTTCAACTGTAACTCGACTGAATGGATTTGGTTCTCGACGCATTCTTTTTGATCGCTAATATTTGAACATAATAAAATAAAAAAAGTAAAATCTTTTTTTCTTTTCTCACAGGAAGATTAAAACATTGATCAATAAAACAAACAAGTAAAGCTTTTGATAATTTTCCTCGTTTTATCGCTACAATATTTTTTCTTTCCATCTAAAAAATATTTTAATATAGACATTTAATAGAAAATAAAAACATCTATTATGATATGTTACTTACAATTTCAAGAGCAGATTTTTGCTTTGTTAGTGAAAAATATTGTAATCTAATATTTAATGAACCTTTTTTTACATCCTGTAATGTTAACCACTGAAAAATAAAACTAAATAAATGACAATCAGTTCTATCATTTAATTACAAATGACATACAGTATTAATATCATCATTGTCAACCAATGCATTAAGACGAAATTGGGCTCTAATTGAAAACAAAAAAAGTCGAATTTTTCATCAGAAATTTAAATCTGAGTTACAGAATTGAATTCTGAGAATCGAAATTAATCCTATTGAAAGGTTTGACACTTTTCGAATCATGTTAAAACTTTTATTTAATATTTTATATCTAATTTGGAAGAATAGATCGGAAATTTAATATCATATACAGTCGGTAATAAAAAAAGTATTCGGCCACCCCCCTTTCGTCTCATACAAGGACTTTACTCAAAAAATCCTTTAAAAAGACGGTCTTTTGTGAAACTTATATGTGATAGAGAACTTTGTCTGCTCTATCCAATGGTGGTATGTGAATAAAAAAACAGCATGTTTCAAGATTGAAAGTGAATTTTTTTCGAAAAGCGACGAAATTTTCGAAAAAAGTCTGAGACTGACAAATTCAGCGCTTCACTTTAATCTATATACTGCATATTTAGTTTTGTCGAGCAGCTCATGGTGCATCGAATAGTATATAGCAAAACAAATTTTCATCAAATCTTAATATATTTAGAATTTATACACTGCTTGGAATGTGCAGCTAGTTAGCAGTGATGAAAGGTCATTTCTCATATCCAAAAAAGTTATAAACAGTTCTATAAAAGGTTCTTGATTCCAGACGGTTTTATAGTTATCATGCGGGTCACAGTTAGCAATCCTCTAGTGAACACAGAATTTTGCAATGCATACTCTCTTATACAGCAAACATAACAAATATTACAAATGAGTAAGAGTGTCCGGATAGTTTCCACTCGTTGCATGTCTCTAAGAAATATATAGATTCGAAATGTGTCGAGAATCGATGAAAATTTGTTTTGCTACACACCATTCGACGTGCCGTAAGCTGCTCTACAAAACTACATATGCTGTTTTTGAATTAAGGTGAAACTCTGAATTTGTCAACCTCACTTTCAATCTCGAAACATACTGTTTTTTTATACAAATATCACTACTGGATACAGCAGACAAAAGTTCTCTATCACATATAAATTTCACAAAACTCCGCCGTTTTAAAGGATTTTTTTGACTGACTGTATAAAGAATAGTTCTAAAATTTACGAGCAAATTCTTCTTTGTTTTATATCGTCATAAGTAAATGACTACATTCTTCGATACCTATTCACAAAGTATTATATTTATACTTCAATAGAACCACTTATGAAATGATTTTGAGCAAGTTATTTATAACTACTTGTCTCAAATTAACTAGCGATGCTGTTCTAATTCTCTATCCTATAATTTAAAATTATTATAAAATAATTAAAAGTCTAAAGATTTATTTAAAGATTATTTACCGTCCGATAAAATCATCTTTAAGAGAATCTTTATCATATACTTCAAATTGAATAGAATCATTTGTATATTGTTCAACAACAAAGTCAAATACCTTATTTTTTGAAAATAAAAGAAAAATAGTGATATTAACAAAAAAAAACCTCAAACATACTTCATTCCATTCGGGATTTGTTGTATTATTAATTGTTTTTGTTCTATATTTAATATTACCTGGTACTTTAAATGCAATAAAAAATTATCGTTGAAACAATGCAAAAAGAAAAGAATTCTTTTCAACCTTTAACATTAACATATGGGTCGCTTTTTCCTCCAATATCTGCATCGATTAAATCTTGTGCTCTTAAAATAAAGACTCGTACAACACCCTACAAATAAGAAATTCATTCATTAATAATTAACATGAAATTCTAACAATATAACCTGGGGATTGGACCATCCTACATATCTAATTGGTATATCATCAACAAGTGAAAGAACTTGTCTATTAGGTAAAACCATCATTGATGCTATTATATCATTAATTTGAACAAGTAATAAATCACTATTAAAAAATTAATAAATATTTTATATCTTGATAATTTTAAAATTTTTGTATACTTAAGACCAGGTAAATCAACTAATGTTCCAGCATCGGTTAGTTTAAAATTAATACTCTAATAATGAAAGTATCAAGCCAAAGTCAAACTTTTATTTTTTATAAAATAAATGTTTTCTACACTTACAGGTTTTCTAAGAAAAAAATATGTTACTGAACCTACTAATGGAATCGTATTAATTAAAGGACTTAAAATAATTCGAATATCACCAACAAATTGTATATCTTTAATTCCACATACAATGCTTTTCAACTTTGTTTTAATAATTGCATCACCAGCATAACTAACAAAGAATTTAAACTGAAAAAAGAAAGATAATTATTAATTTGCATAACATACAAAACTTCAATATCCATCATAATTTGATCATGAAGATTATTTGTATAAACTTTAATACCTCCAATTCTAGGTGGCTTAAAATAAAATTTAAATATAAAAAATAAAATAAGTTTAAAAAATAAACATACAATTTCTCCAAAATCAAGTTTTTGAAATGAAAAATCTGCTAAAGCTGATGATGTTCCACGAATTAACGGAACAAGTATATCATGAAAAATAGCTTGATCAATATATTGATGTGCATATGGCCATACTTGTTTTATTATTCGATTTATCCATTCTGCTCGTTCTACGTCAGGAAAAAATACCTATAAGATACATGAATAATATTTTTTTTTTGTTTGAAAAGTTTTATTTACCCATGATGGTAATTCATCTAAACATGCTTTAGTATATTGTTCTTCATTTCTATTTATTTCTTCTAACATTTTATGGCCTAATAGAAATTGAGTACGTTCATCTTTTCGAAATATATATATAAATACGATTAATAAAATCCATGATGCATTGAAATGAAAATATCCTAAAAAAACCAAGGTCAAACAAGTGTAGTTTGGTTTTATTTAAATTATTTTCTTATTAGTTTTACAACATTAAATTTATAAAAGATTGTCGAAACGTATTTATTATCTATCAGTAAGACAATATACAATTTTTTTTGTGGAGTAATTTTTCAAGTAAAGGAATTTTTTTTTTGTTTTCCAAACAAGTTAAAATTTAAAGGTTTCACTACGTTGAAGCTTACAGTTTTGAAAACAGCCGAGCATCAACTTAATTTAAATCAATTTATTGTAAACCATGATTTTCCTTAATTTATTCCGATCCAAAAAAAAATATTTAGTAAGTTAGCTTTGAAAACTGATAATACATGTGAAAATTTTCTCTCGTTCTCAGAAAACTAGAAAAAAAACAGTTTAAAATGAAAATCCTTAAAGAATGTTTTTTCACTTACCAAGTAACCAAACGAAAAAGACAAGACCAAAAATTTCCAAACATTTTTTCACTATAACAATTAAATCACCTTCTGTTGATCCAATACCCATTTTTGTTTCAGGTAATTGAATTTGACGAAATCCATGTTCAACATTTGAATTCAATGATGGTGATACCAAACTTGTTTTCAATGAATCATTATTCAACTGTTTTTTTACATGAGTCATAAGAGTTTGCATCGTACGAGAAATCTATCAAATCGAAAGAAAAGTAATTTTAGATTGTTTTTTTTTCCAATTAACTACTAGCAATAACTTAACAGGTCATAGACAGCATTAAATTAAAAAGACATAGTCGTCATACATACATACTATTGTCAATGCACGCATATATAATGACTAAATTTTGACGTCAGTCATTATAGGAAACTTTAATTGAACAGGAAAAAAATCATAACACTAATAGAGAACGAGATTTTATTCTTTCTCAAATGAGATTATTTAAATTTTAAATATATCGTAAAAAAACAAAAAGTACGGTGCGTATAATAATATTTCTCAAGTGTTGAAAACCCTACAGATGAATGCGGATGTGAGTAAAGAACACCTTTTCAGTCTATTCAAAAAACTTACCTAATTTGTGATGTTCAAATATCTCAAGAGCTCAAAACTAATCAGAAATTTAAGTTTTCTTTTTTTTCTCATATATATCCTACATTATATAACTACAATCACGATTTGTTAGTAGATTAAGCCTTCAGGAAGTACCGAGACAGTGTTGTTCGAAATATCATCTCGTTGAGTAGCACATTTCTTCTACGATATCGGATAAAATGCAGCGAGTGTTTTATATATATATAACAACGTGTTCTTTGTTACCTATGTGACTTATCTAGTTGCTTAATCAAACTAAAATTGATATGCAATGTTTTTTAATAGGGTCCATGTCTTTATATATTCTCAAATGCTGTTACTAACTCGATTTTCTGATGCAAGAAATTATCTCTTTTTCAAGTTATTTGAGTATTTATCTTCGATGTTAATATTTTTAACGATTTTGTTCGAATAGTCAATGAGATTAAAAAAAATAAAAGTCTTGTCGTCAGAAGGTTAGAGTAATTTTGCATTTATGTTCTTCTTATTAAGATAAGACTTTTTGTTTCTTCTATTTACATCGAATAAAACTCCATTGGAAGTGCTACGATAAGAGTATCTATGTAATAGACGTATAAAAAAGTCTATGCAAAAAAAATGTATTTAATTTTCTTTCAGTTAAAGGTTGCAAGAGACAATCCAAAGTAGTCAAATAGAATTAGAGCTTCATGCTCTTTACAAGTATATGTGTCAAGCAAAATTGAACTAGTGATAGAGATTGCTCTTTCGAATATATTGGATATAGTTTCGCCTGGTTAAAATTAAGTCTGTGCATAATGGAAATTAAACAACAAATTAGTACATAGGCGTCGATTTTCGTCGAAATTATTTTCGTGTGCTATACGTTCATTGTCATATCGTCGTAAGTCATAACAGAACAGAAAAAAAAAGTCGTAATGTAAACGAAAAGAGTCGTAAGGGAAGCGACAGAACGAAAGAAAAGTTATAAATTAAACGGCGTAATGAACGCCAGACGTTCATTACGTGTTATGATATATATCGAAAATGAGACGAATACGAAAGAAATGATTCGAGCATAGCAGTCTATATTTTATTCGGAGTTTGCTACTTAACATAAAACAACAGTAATCAATGATTTTCTGTTCTCGAAATAATATTTTTCTCATATTGTACCTCTTAAATAATAAGGAATAAAAGGGTTTCTTCCAAGGAGGAAAAGGCAGATTTTCAGGATTTTGAATCCCAATAAAAATCCGAGAAATCCCATGAGAATCCCAAAAATCCCGCATAATCCCAAAAATCTCATAAAAATCCCAAAAATATCATGAAAATCCCAAAAATCCCATGTGAATCCCAGAGTTAAGATTGAAATGATTAGGATTTTATGATTGTTTTAAAGGACAACAATACACGAATAAGTGCAATCCTGCGATTATCCGACTTTTTCTTATAAAAATAGTGTTCATTCAATCTCCTCGTGTTTCAAAACTTATAGTGTTAATTCATGGACAAAGGTTAAAATACTAACGTTCGATACCACCAAGAGTGCTTGAGTGTTCCAGCTGGAAAATCAAGAAACGCAAAGAGTTATATTTTTCTTTAGATGCATCCTTAAAAAGAGGATATATTTTTCTATCTCAATATTTTCAAAATTAAAATTATTTCAATGAGATGTTGATGATATTTCTCTTCATTCTGAATCTAATATTTATAAATGTCTCTTCAGAACCTTTCTTTTGACACTTCCATCTAACCGGCTGATACCCAAGCAGACAAATATTTTCAAAAATGCGTTTAAACGCATGAAAAAGTGCCATTAAAATAGAAAAAGTAGATGTTTTTTGCTCACAATCGCGGTCCCCGACTGTGAGCGGAAAACACCAATTTTTCCCCTCTTTGTGCGTTTACACGCATTTTCAGAGAGAACTCGATTGTAAAAGCGTATAAACGCATAAAAAGAACACTAAACGCAGTCGTCTTTTTCACTTTCATTACCTATAATCATAATCATGATGGTGATTTACGATTATGAAGAAGACAACTGCGTTTAGTGTTCTTTTTATGCGTTCATACGCTTTTACAATCGTGTTCTCGCTGAAAACGCGTTTAAACGCATAAAGAGGGGAAAAAATGGGTGTTTTTTGCTCACAGTCGGGGACCGCGATTGTGAGCAAAAAAACGTCTACTTTTTATATTTTAATGGCACTTTTTCATGCATTTAAACGCATTTTTGAAAATATTTGTCTGCTTGAGTATACTTTCGTTTTTGCGACGCAGATTTCTACAAAGTGGTTGAAAAAGACGCCGGATCAGCCGAAGCTAAATTGCTAGAAGCTCAAGCAATTTGAAGCGTATATTCATTTCTCAATAAGGAACATGTATTTGCTATTCTTTCGATTTCATGCTTGGCCCTAAACGACATTAAAAGACTTGTTTGCTTTGAAGCCGATGATCATAGTTACATAGTAAAAACAAGTTCTCGTGGTAGTATTCGATAATTTTATCAACTTCTCTATCAAAAACACGAAGAACGTCTTAAAGAACATACATTAAAATCTAAATGATTAAAACCATCACCGCCCGTGAACAACAATCATGTCCTTGAAGATATTTTTCAAGAGTTTTCTGAAATTGTCTTACTATCAATTGTTCCTGAAGTAAATGGGAAAGGCGGATTTGCGGTGTTGCCACTCCATGAAGAGTCCCAAAAACTCCAGAAAATCTCCAAATCCATCAGCAATGTCCTGTCATAAATGAAGGAATTTCGAGCTGAAATTTTCATCGTATGTAGACCTTGCAGTCCTTAAAATATCCTAAAAATTTCATTGCAAACAGATATTTTCTTCTCAAGATAATCAATTTCTAAGAAAAGTGGATTTTCTGACCGAGGTGTGAAATATGAGTGTTTCTTGCGATCACATTATCTTCAAAAGAAAACATCAATTTGCGCTGAAAGTTCTAGAATATTTTAAGAACCACGAGGCCTAAATATGGCAAAAATTCCAGCTAGAAATTCCTCTATTTGCAACAGGGCACTGGTGGTGGATTTTGGGATTATCGATATCCGAAAAATCTCAAACAAATCCGAAAATCCGAAAATCCGCCTTTTCCCCCTTGGTTTCTTCTGTATCTTAGTTATATTTTTATTAAGATTTCGATAAAGTACATAAGAAGTAATACATTTTCAATAGCTTTTTTTGGATGGAGCCAAACTTGTCTACAGGTAACATCGTGCGAAACTAACAGGATCATAATTATATGGTCGAGTTATTACAACCAGCTATTTTTCGAAGTGTTCATATTCATTATTTTGTTTTTTTTCTTAAACAAAGATTGTACTTAGGGATGTGTCGAGATTCTCGGTCTCAATACACCCCTAAGTGCACTCAGTCTTTAGTGCTATATATGAGTAAATACGACTAGTCTTCATCCACAACTATTAGTAGCACATTTTTCTCTATATTTGAGTATATTCAGGTAAAGTAACACTTGACTTTTGATTAAGTGGTAACAATCAGTTAGTTATGAAATGAATTTCATATATTTCGTTCATCACAATTTCTGTAATGGTTCAATACTAATCAATAATACAAAAAAAAATATAAATGCTTCCATAAATATCTAAAAATAACAATAGATATTTTTTTAACTATTTTTTTTAAAAACAATAAAATATCGACATTATCCGGTGTTAATCTCGAACGTCTGTCTGAAGTCAAGTAACCTGTTGTTGAGAACATTCGCTCTGATGGTACACTTATAGCTATTATACATAAATATTTGTATGCTAATTGTGATAAGATTGGATATTTTTGTTTATTACTAGACCACCATTCGAGAGGATTTTCATTCCTATGTAGTTCACTTTCACTCTCATATACTAATAATTCAGAATCATACGTATTTGATGATGATAAACAATTATTTGTTATCATTATATCAAAAATATCAATTTCTTTTTCTTTTGAACGATCAAATAAATTAGATGGAGATGTAACTGTTGTGCCACGAGATAAGTAATTAAATTCTTCTTGTAAAAGTGAATATGCAAGCTTTTTAGCTTCAAATGCTTGCAATTAATCCAACAAAGATAATGCTTCAACATGGTTTTGATAGGATAATCATTGAAGGCATGCAAAATTTTTCCATCGTGGATCTAATACTGTACATATCAAAATCGAAAAATACTTCATTATACAAATTTTAACTATTTATTTTTTGTATACCAATTTATTCTCATATATTTCTTTGAAACGTTCTTCAATACCAAGAGGTAAAGTATCTTTGATTTTTTTCAGAAAAGAACAGTCAGAAGTTCGTTTTTCAAGACTTGTTATCAAAGTTGTAATAACAGGTAATACAATGGATAATGTTGGTAAAGAATCAGAAGCAAGTTTTCTTGTAGCAGCCTCAAACGGCTTCAATACATTCTAACGATGAGTGAAAAAAATTTTAATATTTTATATTTCAATAATATCCTACCAATAATTGTTTCAAAAAATCCCATTCTATAACTTTTGAAATTTTAGAATTAGAAAAATGTTTTTGAAACAGTTTTTCATTTAAACATGCTGCAACAGAAACTTTTTCTTCTAGAAAACGTTGAAGAATATAAAACGTACTATTCCATCTAGTTATAACATCAAAAATTAATTGCCGTTCAGCAAGACCTGTAAAGATTTATTTCTGTCGGTTAAAAAAGAAAATCAAATATTTTTCTACCAAGTGATCGTTGATACTTGTTTAAAATCTCTTTAGCCAAATGATTATCTCTTGTAAATGAAATGATATAACGAGTCGTTGCAAGCATATTCCTCACATCATCAAGATTTCGAACATCGCTGGCTATTAAATTAATAAGATGGTCAGTGCAACCAATCCAACCTAAATTAAATCAATTAATGCTTTTGCAAGAGAGAGTGATTCATATAAAGAGTCAAGTTCACTCATTAGAATTTCCATGAGAAATTTCACTCAATCATGCAATGAAAGAAAGTATTTGATTAGAGTATCATTTTGAAAATAGTTTCATATAGTTTCGATAAAATTTTGACACAAAAGAGATGTAAATATAGAAACACATTTTTTCTTTGATTGATCTAATAATTTATCATATTAGGATAAATTAGTACATCGACCAGTGAAAATGCGTTGCGTCATTCATAGTTTTTATGTTTCAAAGTTCAGTTATTACCTCATAAAACCAGTACAAAATAATAATGTGAATAGTCTTTTTCTATTGGTGCCTAATTTAATGAGAATAATCAAGAAAAAATACCAGCAAGTAAACTTGAATTCTTATGTGAACTCATCTTCTTTTAAAATACTAATTTATTCAAACCTTTCTGGAAATCTTTGCCAACTTTCTTTATAGTGTTGCAATTATCAGAAACCAAACAAACAATTTTATCCCCAATTGACCAATCATTGCATATTTCATTTAATCTTTCGACAATACGTTCAGCTGCATGATATCCTGAAAACTCCTTCGTATCTAATACAAAACTTTTTAGTTTATTATTTTTTATGTCAACAAAGTGAGCTGTAACTGTCATGTAAGCCTGGTTAGCGTCAGATTTCCACATATCTGTTGCGAGACAAATACCTAAAAGATAAAAAAAAAGGGTGTGGGTGTGGTTGTGGGTGTGTGGGTGTGGGTTGGTGTGGCTATGGTGTGGATGTGGGGTGTGGGTGTGGGTGTGGGTGTGGGTGTGGGTGTGGGTGTGGGTGTGGGTGTGGGTGGGGTGTAGGTATAAGTCTTCTATTAATTCACACCCATACCCACACCCACACCCACCCACAGCCACACCCACCCACATCCACACCCACACCCACACCCATATCCACCAACACCCAGAGATTGGCGAATGGTTTCGAACAAATTTAGGGACGAGGGAAGAAGATTCCCTGTCATCACTTCTATCCAGCTCTTACCCTGAAAGAATAACGGACACAACAACAGAACATGCACATGGAGTCAACATGAGTAGAACTATAATAAGCGATCTGTAATTTGCGCATGATAATAGACGTGGTAATCGCGGAATCCGAATCAATTCAGGAAGAAATCCAGTACATGAAGGCAGGTGTTCTAAAAAGCAGGATTAATTGTGAACGCAGGAAAAGTGAAAACGATGGTATTGAGCGAGAAAAGAATTGACAAGTCAGTTCATATTGTAGGCGAAATTACCGAGAATGTCGGAAAATTCGAATACTTTGGAAGCTTGATATCATGATATAATAAATGCTTAGAGGACTTTAAAAAAATTTGCAAAGCAATCGGAGCTCTGCCTTTTGTAAAACATGTATGGTAGAGAACGGCGGTTCCAGATATTACCCGGATCCGGAACCGGAACCGTGGATCCGGTTCCGGTTCTGGTTAGCAAAGTTGAAAAAAAACGGTTCTACGGTCGGATCCTAGAATGTGTTTGGAACCGTTGGGAACCGTTGATCTGGTGATATATTACATAATAATTTGTATCAGATTTTTTCAAAAATATCTATGTTTTTTTTCATTGTTCATGCTTATTAATTTATTGAAAAGCAATTCTATCAAAAGATACAAAAAAAGAAAAAAAGTAGAAAATCCATATAATATGACATGTTCATATACAATTAGTACCATATAAATAAATTCTAAAAAAACTCGACTTCATTTTCTTCATCATCCTCGCAAAAGATAATATCATCTTCTTCATTCACCTTCAATTTCTTGGTAGATGTAGTAGTTATTAATTCTTCTTGATTGTCATATGAGTTCGTGCAGGGTGGCTGAAGGACCATCTTTCGTTTTGTTGCAGTGACAGCAGCTTCATTAACTGGTTGTTTAGCAATTTGTTTCAATAAATTCAGATTTTTTTGTAAAAATAATAACTTGTTTATCTTCTCTGTACCAAGACGTGTACGTTTATCTGTAATTGTATTTTTTGATGACGAGAAAACACGTTCGATAGTGGTATTTGATGCAGGTATTGCATAAAAATCTTGAAAAATATTAAATAATGTTGGAAATTTCATCTTATGGTTTAACCAAAATAATAAAATATCATCATTCTCACTTAATCTAACATTTAATGCAATATATTCTTCTAATTCATCATAAGGTGTTGTTGGCAATTTTAAGTCATTTTTTGGTGTATCAAAACATTGTGAAAGAAGAGTTTTTGGCGACGATGTTTGAGGATCAAGTTCAACTATACGAGCAGGTGATTTATTGTTTGTTGAGCAGATAATAGATGATGATGGTTGGCGCTTCATTAATTCATTTTTTGTTAAATCAATAGCTTTTGCGCGAAAATCAGAACATTTATCGAAATTTTTAAATGATGGATGTAAAAATGTGGTGATGTAATGTATATCATGTATAATCCAAACGTCTTGAATACGTTTTTCTAAACAGAAAAATCAGATCTTTCAAAAAAAAAATCATAACGTTTTATTACGAGATATATTTCGAGCTTCATAGACATTTTTATAATAAAAAATCATTTCGTAATTAGCATCCACTCTTTTTTTTAATTTTATCATACACTTAAATGGCTCTCTGATTTTACTAGATGTCCCTCATTGTATAAAACATTTAGAGGATGTCTGAATCTTTGAAATTAAAGAAATACCCAGAAATGTTTTAACTTGTTGAATTCCATCATGATCATCAGGATGAATTTTACAGTGGTTCAATAAATATTGTTTAAACGGTAAAACTTTATATATTGTTGGTTTTGTATCAGAACTAAATTGTTCAATTACTTCCTCAAATGGTTTAAGGAATAAGCAAATACATGAAAGTAAATCTTTATCTATTGATTCATAATCATTCATAAGAGCTCGTTCTAAAACACCAGGTAATTCGTCGAACACCAATAAGAACACATCCATCGTAAGAAAAGCACCATTGAACCGTGTATCACAATATGATTGAAGTTTACGAGATAATTTTGTTTGTTTATGTGTTCTTCTGGTATGGGATACGATTTTTCGTACATGAACGAACATTTCTTGAGCAATTTCGCATTTAACTGGAACTTTATCAATAACATCTGTGGTAAAACAATGTTCCAATTGCTTATTAATATAATGGATTGAACATCCGATTCTAGTGCACGAATCCTTGAAAGCTGATTTCATCTTGTTTTCATTGTCACATACTATGAATTTACTATTATCTAAGGTTAAATTGAATTCCAATAATTTACTGTCAACAAATTGACGAATTTGACTTGCTGTTTGATTATCACGATCATAGGGAAAACAACCCAAAATAAAGACATGTAGTTTTAATTCATCATTTAAATAAAATAGAGCAATACCGCAAAAACTGACGCCTGAAAAATAAATAAATAGTGTTAATAATAATAGTACTAAGTATATTATTGCAAGCATGTCGCTTTTTTTATAATATATAAACAGCTTTGTTAGAAAATACATTCTTACCGGTGTATGAGGCAGTCCAGAAATCTACTACAATTGTATAATATTTCATATTTTCACATAATTTTATCAGCTGAGACTTTTTGGTATGGTATAATCGATCGATGTTCCGGCTGACCTAGTAGTAAATAAAAGAAATAAAATGGCTTTCTTTTGTAAACTAAGAAATTCTCTATTTATTTCTTTCACAGGTTTATTATATAATATTTACTTACAGTTCTTGGATTCGGTATTAAATCCAAAACATTAACATCTGGTGTCTTAGATAAATCTTGACCAACATTGAATATTGTTTGAGCTAAATTAATAAACCCGTCACCAGATACAAGTTCAAATGCACGATTATCTACAGCAACAAATTCAACAGTTGCATCTGTAATTTTTTCTTTGAATATTCTTGAAATAGGTTGAGCAGTTTTAGGACGAAGATATTCTTTAATAGTAAGAGAAGCATTTGGAATATCTTTGCTGGTTGTTTGACATGATTTGATGTGTTTGATCATATTACTTGTGCCAGAGTCTGATTTATGATGTAGAACATCTTTGCATTTATCGCAACAAACAAAATCTTTTTTTCGATTACTAATAAAGACATAACTGAAAGAAGACCAAACTGGAGATGATGATGTTTTGGGTTTTACAAATGTTAAACTTGCATCATAATTCCTGATCAACTTTATAATGTTTTCTTTTGTCAATGAAGAGTCGTCCATTCCATTAATAATAATTTTCTTACACACCGGTGATGTCTTCACACAAAATCTAAAAAATAAATTACAAAATAATAAACTATTGTTGACTCTCTCTATAAGTGTATACAACTAAATTATTTGTTTCTTTCTGTTTGTTTACAATTAACATTCTATATCGGGAATGGATGAAAATTTTTTTGTTCAACAGTGATTCAAGAACGATTAAACATAGATGACTCTAGTCGTCCTGAAAAAAATTTTCGGTTCCAACGGATCCGGTTCCGGTCGGATCCGTTTTTATTTCACGGATCCGGTTCCAAATCCGGATCTGAGAAACTGAAAAAATTTCGGATCCGGTTCGGTTCTCGGTTCCAATAAGATTGGAACCGCCGGACTCTAATGTATGGAGCAGTAAAAAGCTTTAAGCGGAAAGCAAAGTAAGGATCCTCAGAACGTGGTTGTTCAATGTCTTGCTATATGCTTCAGAAACATGGACTTTAAAAGAAGCAGATGAGAGGAATCTGGTAGCATTCGAGATGAAGTGATACCGAAGAATACCGAGAATCATCTGGAGAGATATGAAAAGAAACACCGAAACTCGAAAGAAAATATCAGTAAATTCTAAAACATAAGCTACCCGCAACAAACGAACAGTAAATCCAGAAGAGGACGAGCATGCAAAGAGTAGCTAGATGACATTATCCAATGGTATAACAGCAAACCCATGTCTTGCTCCACCTCAGTAGAGATACACTCTAAAAAAAAATCGGTTTTTTACCGAACCCCCAAAAAAGGTTCCGGAGATTTCTAAAAGCGTCCAAAGGTGTCAAAAGTCTCAAAAAAAGGATAAAAAATCTACGAAACCTTTAAAGGTTCTTACCGTGTGCCCAGGATAAGAACCGTTTACTGCGAAACCTTTTTTAAAGTTCCGTACAGCAGAAAAAGGTTTCGTAGAAAAATACGAAACCTTTAGAGTTTCATATTAAACCTTAATAGTTTCGTACTAAACCTTCATGATTTCGTAGAGTTTAATACGAAACTCTAAAGGTTTCGTATTTTTCTACGAAACCTTTTTCTGCTGTACGGAACTTTAAAAAAGGTTTCGCAGTAAAAGGCTCTTGTCCTGGGCACACGGTAAGAATCTTTAAAGGTTTCGTAGATTTTTTATCCTTTTTTTGAGACTTTTGACACCTTTGGACGGTTTTAGAAATCTCCGAAACCTTTTATGGGGTTCGGTAAAAATCCGATTTTTTTTAGAGTGTAGAAAAGGGTGTGGATGTGGGTTGTGTCGTAGGTGTATCTAGTCTTCACCCACATGCGCAACTTTGGGTGTTTTTTGGATAATTGCCGTCGAGAATCTGAGTTTATCATTCGATCTAGCTCGTCAAATTATGCCAGGGTTAAAGTTTTGTTAAAGTGGCTAAGTGAATCAGCAGAATCATTGTCAAAAAAACTGGCCTGGACTGCTAACTTTTCATCCATGGTTTGAAGATGTCGTGTATATTTTCAATGCTGTGAGATGTTGTGAAAACAACCAGTAGAGCCATTGTAGAGCACACATTTTCTCCAACCATAATTTCATGCTCATTTTCCGATCCTCAATTCATTTGATTGATGAGTGATAGAGCTACCAAGGAAAAAAGTTAACATTTTCTCGGCCAAAAAAAAGCATGTCTTTATAATATGTAATGATAAACAATTTAATTTATACGCATGAATGCACACAAGGCAAGTTTATTCACTCATGTATGTATATAAACGTCTTGATGAGTTTTTTCTCTTCCATAAAACAACGTCGATAGATTGTAGTGTCATCTTTGTCGTCAGTACGCGAAATTTCAATCTAATACATCGAGTAAACGTAAGTTTTATCGAATTGCGCTCTCATCAGCAGAAATTTCTCTTTATCAATATTTAGCAGATTTTTCTTTCTTCCATTAGTACCAGTAAGCTTGTATACCATTATGATTTCATCATAGTAATTGTTTTTCTGCTAAGCAAGTTGTTTCGAAGTTCGGCACGAAATGAGTGGGATAGATTTATAACTATAAACTTAGTTTTTCCACGAAGCTTGTGCAGCGAATAGTTGTCAAAGATTTTATAAACGCTGATGCAGAAAAATTCATTCAAAAAGCTGTGCAGTTATTAAAAAAATATGCAATAATTGCAAAAAAAAATAATGATCAGACAAATCTACAGCAACGAGAATTTCGTTGCAACATTTCTAGCTCTGAAAAGGTGCTGCATATTTTTCAGCCACGATGAACATTCATAAGTTCAAACCAGTTTAATTCTTTTATAATTCGATAGTCCACCCAGAATACTAGAAAATAATGATACCCTATCATTAAACAGTTCCTAGGTCCTTGCTTCACATCTCTTTCACTCTTTATGTAGTATTGAACTACAGTGACAAACTATGCAGACGTGTTTCTTCAGCTTCGAAAACTGTATTCTGTGAGTATGTGTCTAGAGTCTTCAATAGAAATCCCTGAAATAGTTCCATAAATATTATTTCTCAAGGTTTTTTGAAAACATTTTTGTTTTTCATCTTATATTCTCAAGTTTCATAAAATATCGGTAACTGATCTGATTATTTTTTTTTGTGACATGAAAATAGATTTTGCTACGAGTGTGGGTAGGGTTTGAACTATGGGGTGTAGTTATTGGTGTCAATATTAGGAGCTGGCCAGCTCAGCTCACGAACCCATACAAATGAACGAAAGAAGTGTGCGACAGCTCATTTGAGCGAACTAAACGTTTTCAAACAATTCTGTTCAAATGAACTGAACTTAAAGTTAAACATAATATCCTAGGGATACCTATACGTGCCAAGGCGCTATCCTATAGAGGTACTCGTTGATCCTCAACGCTGTCATTTATGCATGCCCTTAAATTCTCATATGCCTCTATCGGCTTATCCTAAGATCCTCAAATCATATTTTTTGGAGGACCCTTCGGTGTTCAAGTACCACTAAAGGTGTACGCTTAGAACATCAACTCGTACTATAGGGGTGCCCATGGTTTCTCAAGTGCTACCATAGGAGGGTGCTTTTATATCGGCAAGTCCTACTATAGAAGGGTAATCTTGCATCCTTAAGTCGTACCATAGGAGATACCGTTGGATGCTCAAGGGTTACTGTAGCGGGTATCCTTCCTTCTCACGGCTTGCTACAGTGGATATGCTCGAGTACTTCAGTCTTATTAGAGAAGTTACCCTGCGGTCTTTAAAATCTGCTACAGGGAGTACCATCGAATGTTAAAGGGCTACTATAGAAGGCAACCTTAGGTTCTCCAGCTTTACTGTAGGTGCGTATCCTTCAACTCCAAAGTTCAACTTTCGAAGGGTACTCTTGGCTACTGAAATACTACTGTACTAGTAGTTACCGAGGTAGTACGAAGCGCACAGATCTCTTCTTTCTTATTATACAAACAACTACTAGTCATGTTCAGGCCGAAGCTAGAATTATCGAGAATGCTCTATCGATTAATGAATATATGTTTATGACTTCGTGCTGAATACCACGGGGAAACGGAATCTTACAAGTTGATGGGTTCGTTTCTGGCTAAGCAGATTTCAAGTAGCTTGTTGTTCAATATTTTCTGGATAAGCACTAGGATAAAAAGTGTTGAGGAGCCAAGGTCACTCTTTGTAGCTACCTTTGTGCACCCAACAGCAGCCCCGGTTAGTAGGCTTTAAGCATCTTAGGGAGTCTCCTATAGTAGCTCTAGAGAACTGACGGTTACCTTCTATAGCAGCTGTTGAGAACCCAGTAGTACCTTGGTATAGCAGTCACCAAGGGCTCAAGCATGTTTCCTATAGTAGCCGTTGTGGACACAGGAGTACCCTATGTAGTGGACATTAAGTTCCAATGGTACCCCGAATACCAATTCTCATTGGCCTACGGTACTCCCTATGGTAATTCTTGGGGATCGAAGGCACCCGCTAAAGTAACTCTTGAGAGCTCAAGGATAAAGCCTATATTATTTTTTTGAGGACCCGAGTGCTTCCCCCCCATAGTATACTGGAGGAGATATGGTGATCCACCCTGGGCTGTCCCTAGGAGATCCTACCGATAGTCTGCGTAACTTTTCATGAGAATCTGTTCATAGAGCTGAACTCCTTGAAAATTTTCAGTTCGCTTAAAAGAAGTCTTCGTAAAGATCGGTTCATTTGAAAACAGTCAGCTTACTTAAAAGAGCTGTTCAAATAGCTCAGTTCGTGTCAATGAGCACTTTGAACAGTTTATCGATTCTGAGCTATAGCCGAGCTTGTCGAACTCTAGTCAATACAGTTTAAGAAATTGTAATTCTATCAGGATTTAAGCAGAACACTCTTTAAAATAAAGTCTGTCTAGCGGCAGCCAAAATTTCTGATAATAAAATATAAAAGTGTAAAAATGAAATAGATACATTAAATTTTACCTTATTAAATATTCGATATATCTCACTGCTATTATTTATACAAAGTTCAGCCCTTTCTAAGATTTTATTCAAAGTTCATAAAATTTTTTATCGACAAGCTTCGTCACTATCTTAAAAACCTGTGGCGTCAGCAATCCTTCGTTTGCTTGATCAGTTAAATGTTCACATATTCACTCTGTTATAGGCAATATTTAAAATAACGTCAGAATCAAATCTAAGAAGGAAGGGTTGCCTACATGACTGTAAACGACGCATAGAATATTAATTTGTACAAAAGAACTTTCGATATTAAATGTTTTAACAAATTTTATTGTTAAGAAAGAGAATTTGAAAGTTTTTTTTTACTGCGTGCTAAAACCACAAAAAGAAAAACAAAGCACGTTCTT